AGCCACACTTTGAATCTGTGTGAAAGCACCTTGGACCAGCAGATGCGTTTTACGGCAGAGTGTTAGGGCCAGGAAGAAAACACTCATTACGAGAATAAAGTTGTGATATTATGAAACCTGAAGGCTCAAAATGAGGACAGTTGAGTGAAGTTATACTTTGGTATTGGTTTTACAAAATTATTGTCCTCGTAATTCCACTTTTTAATGTTTTTCTGGTAAGCCTGGCTCTAATACTCGATCGTAACCTTCAAACTGACAGTCGTCGTTTTGGGATTTAATAAAAGACTAAATAACAGAAGAGTGGATACAAATTCAGTGCTGCTCATGAAGCAACTAGCAGATGACTGGCTGAGCTGCAGTTTGGGAGTTTAACTGATATGGGGAAGAAGTTTTGGTCTTGAAGATCTGACCTCTGCCAACACAGCAGCTGAATGCAAAGCAACCTGTTATTTCACAAAGGAAGGGTGTTTGTTTACTTACTGGTAAAAGTGTGTCAACCAGACTGTTGCAGTCTTCCTACTTGATCCTGACAGATCAATATCTACTGCTGCTTTAGAAAAGGGCTTAAAGAATTTGACAAATAACTGAAGGACTTTTATTTCCCACAACAGAAAGAACAATAATGGAAACTGAGCTGCGAGTTGTGGAGAGTTGAAAGAAGCTAAAAAACTAAGCAACCAATGAGCTTAAGGCAATTAAAAAATTCTCAAGGGAAAAAGGGGATGAAGGAAAATCTACTAGCATCTGAACAAATGAACTTGCTGCAGAGCCATGAGGACCCATGAGAGCCTTCTGGGTCATATTGTCTGAAAGAGATAACTACAGGTGCACCAATTGTTGTTTTCTGCCAATTGCAAATAATTTCCTTAACTGTTATAAGTTCTGAAACGTCACTAAATGTAGGCCGGTCATGGTAATAAATTTTATTAGGTAATAAATTGTCCCAGTAATTGTTCAAATAAACAATAACATTGTTTCGAGGCTACTTTCAATTAACAAATTGAAAATAATAGTGGAAGTTTGCCCTTTCAAAGACCATTAATTTCAGGAATAACATTTATCACTGGAATTGGAAGATATTTTAAATATCCAAATCAAAAACAATAAACATAACAGAAGTTAAAAAATAAAATAAAATAATTACGATGCATCTGCAGACAAAATAGCCCTTCAAAGTAAATATTAGTCATCAGAAGTAAAATGATCAAGTTCATTTTAATTAATTAATTGATTAATTGCTTATTGTGAAGTTGCTAAGTTGGCAAGAAAGGAGAATCTGACTGATATTCAGACCTTAGCAGAGATAAATATCCATCACTTATCAAGTGTCCATCACTTCTGCGGCCGACAGATCGGTGCACCCTTAGAGATAATGAGACTGAGCCGCCGAGCAGATGTCTGAAAATATTTTCCCATAGAAATTTACAAACATGGTTTGAAATATCCAAATTAAACAAACCAACTTCTTCAACTACAAAAAGTCCCAACATTTTCTTCAACAAAACCTAATGCTACTCTGAGCATTTCTCTTAAAGATTGCAACACATTGCAAAGATGTATGCCATTGTTCAAAAGATTCCCACAATGACAGCAATCTGTCATGCTCCTAACGGTGCAGGATCATGCTGCTCTGTAACCCAAACCAAGTTGCTCATGCAGCTTCAGTGAGCCATCAGTCCAGAGGTGTGGATCTGTCCAAAACATGCAGGACGACGACTCCGAGGAGAACAGGTCGTCTCAAAACGTGGAATCTGTCCAAAGCGTAAAAAACAAGCCTGGGATGCACCAAGACATAAAAACGACCATGTCTGCTGATAAAACTACAGCATGCCGGGTCAGAGGTCAGACCTGACCATATCCAAACGTACAGCAGCAGAGTTACAGTTTAGAGACGACATGCCCTCACGGCACGAGGTCCACGATTTCACAGGATCAGAAAAATGAAATAAAAGTCAGTACACAGACACTCGCTGCGTTTCCATTGAACATGTAACTGCGCAAACTGTAATTACGAAAATAAGTTTGCTTCATGGAAACGCAGCAATTTAGAAAAAAACTGAGAACTCGGAAGTGGAGATTAGATTTTTGGCTGTATCAATTTAGGTTTATTTCGCAAAGTGGCAATTTAAACACTTTTCTCACATCTCATGAGTCACACGATCATTAGCCAGATGTTACCACTGCCGGAGAAGACAAAGAGGAAGTCAGTAGAGGATCACGGTGCAGCCTCTTTATAATGACTTATTATGTGAACAAACTTATTGACATGTGATTTTTATTTGTTTCTTATTTAATAGATGCACCACAATTGTGAAATAGTTTTTTCAATACTTGCAGAATATCAATAAAGTTTTGCACACGTTTCAATGGAAACAGTTAATAATTAAGTTTCCATTTACCTTCAAATTGTGCAACTTGGTATAACAATAAATCTGTTTAACAGAAACACAGCAACTTTGGAAAAAATTAATTTCTGTAAAAACTTTTTGCATTAGGATAAGGTGATTTACCAGCTTTATCAAGATTTGTGTATTTCACATGTTTCACATCTCGTGTCGTGATAAACAACCGGATGTTACTACTGGTGGAAAAGACAAAAAAGGCAACAGGAAGTGGTTGGAGGATCATGGTGCGGAATGATCTTTTAATGACTTTTTGCATGAGCAAACTTATTCACGTGTGATTTTAATTTAGTTTCTTATTTAATGGAAACAATGCAATGATGAAATTTAGTTTTTTTCCCCAACATTTTCATCAAAACAAAGCTTTGCGCATATTTGTAATGAAAAGGCAGCTAGTCAGGGTTTTCATGAGAACAAAAACTGACTGATTCACTCATTCACACATGCATTTGCTCATGCAGTGGGTGGGTTGTGTCATGACGTGCTGTGAAGAGGAGTCGTAAGACACAAACGCCTCAGCATTTTTCTATGATGCAATCCATGCAGAATCCAAGTCTCTCATTCTGCTGCAGCACCTGAAACTGGTTGAATTTTCCCCGACCCGAGCGACAGAGAATGCTGGTTGGCTTGTTTGGATCATGCTGACACAGACACAACAACGCTAGAGAAAACGCTGGAGGACGACGGATGCCGAGACTTATGAATGAACATGTGGAGGAGCACTCGTTCTGCAAAGCAATGTTTCTCTCTGAATTTCATGGCGGTCTTACTTCCTTAAGTAAACCAATTTCTAAAATACTGGAAAGTAATTTAGCAAAAAAAAAAAAAGAACCTAAAAGAAATACACTTATTTAACTAAATAAGATGCAGTTACATAACATCATTAATAATAGAAATATTGCATTTGCATGAAGCGCTCCTGCAGTTAGTTTTTTTTGTTCCCCACGAATGGATTCATTTAAGATGGATGAAGTCCACGGCTTAATGGATCTCAAATCTTCTACCTAATTTTGCCCAGCTGGCCCTTGGCTCTGGACAAAGGCTGCAGAGCGAAGTCGTCGCCTATGACCACTCGGTTGGAATACATCTACACCGGGAGAGCAAATACAGGGGCAAGATGAAGAACACACAGACAGAGAGGTTAGAAATCCAGCTCTTTCTCTCCCACACACGACAGTCACATTCAGACACAACAGGACGGAGACTGAAGCAGAAGCTACAAACGGCACACAGGACTGCAGAAGTTGGCTCGTTTTCTTTTCTGAGAAACAAGCTGAGACGATAAATCATGTCCAGATGGACGAATCAATACAGAAAGAGAGCAGAGGTGACACTGTGTGCTTCTCAGTGCGCTTGTCTGTGATCAGATGGCAGTCATGCAGAGCGAACATAAACATGATTACGTTCCTGTTCAGAAGCAGAAAAAACAAGGCTAAAAATAAACTAAAACACAGATCACTGCACAGATTTTGTATTTCTTATTTTTTAAAACTTATCATATAATTGTTGCCAATTTTGTGCTCTTTGTAGGAATATAATTTATGTATTGCTATATAGCAGGGGTGGGCATTTATTTTCATGTTTAGCACTTATTGTGAATAAGTTCTGAGAGAAAATTTGATTCTTTGTTGTTTTAATAAATGTCAATAATGTTACAGGAAAAATAAAACAGTATTGTTATTAATATTTTTACTATTTTCTCTCTGTCTGTCTGTCTATATATATATATATATATATATATATATATATATATATATATAAATCACTATGATCTCAGTAAATGGCATCCTGAGGAATCTATTAAAAATAGGATTTTTTTAAGAACAGTATTTGTGTTGCAATAAATGCAGTCATGCACTCACCTAAAAAAGTTCCCTTTTCTGTTTTACTATAATTTATATTCTATTACAATGTCAGCACAAAATATTGCGATAAAATTCTAAGTCCATATCGCCCACCTCTGCTACATAGTGCAGCAGATTATTAAATATTTCAGCAAAATCTTTCACATGAGGTTAAAAACCCTAACATGGCACATATGTTCCCAGAGGATTACTTAAAATCAACAAACTGGTAGCCACTGAAAGATTCAGTGACATAAAGAGCAAAAAGAGCAAAAATAAGTAACATTTCATGTCAATAATCACTTTAAAAGGCTCAAAGATGGCAGCCATTTTGAAAAATGGAGGTAATCTTGAACTGGCTGGTGGAAAATATGAAAAACATAACAAGCCTGTTTCCACATCTGAAAGATTTTTATAGATATTAGAGAAGCAAGCTGCACTAACATGTCTAAATATGGTAATAGAAGAGATTTTAAAGAATACAAAGTGTCTTTTCCCTTTCTAGTGCAATTTCACTTAAATTCAGTAACATTTAGAATTTAATATGTTCAAACATTCACAAAATATCCTGTAAAACTTCTTCATTTGTAATCAGCAGCAAAATAAAAATGGTGCAGCTGATTTTCACATACAAACCCAACAAAATGCATAAATCATTCAGTAAGGTTAAGGAAAAATCTATGAATTTAGAAAAGTAAAATGTTAGCAAAGCGAACTGCTTTCCTGCACGAAGCATCTGGCAGCTGGTAATTACCTGGCTCTTCTGTGTGCTGGTGGGACACAGGTGTCTGTAGAGAACCTTCCTCGTCATTTCAGGAAACAGGCAGGTGAGGACGATGATGACGATGGCGAACCAGGCCGAGCCGCAGGACAACAGCTGGACGAAGACAAAGTACATGTCCTGGGTGTGCAAGAAGGGCCTGGAGGGGTTCAAACAACACAAATGTTAAACTGGAATCACTTCCTATTTATTTAAAAGAACTACTTTATTCAGCCCATCCAGGAAGTTGAGATAACAACTATTAATGCAAATTTGCTCATCGTTTGCAGATTTTGTGCAGACTTAAAATCACCGGTCATTGTAACCTTTGCACAAATCACCTTAATGTTTTCTGTACTTCCCTCTTTTCTGACTGAAACGCGGCTGAGTTTTGACCAGTCCCGTCAGAGCCCTTCTAATTAAACTTCCTGTTTCAGGACGTTTCTCATAAAATAGAAGCATAAACATCATGTAGGCACTGATTGATTGCAGCTTTTAAACCTACAGAGAAGATCAGCAGACAGGATTTGCCCTTTTCACTGTAATTTCAGGTCCAACCATCAGTTCCAGTTGTGCACTTAGATAATGTCATTATGTCCTAAGGGCAGAGCTTAACGACCAATACAGATTCGATCAATAATAAACCCAATATGGTGGCGATGGCTCCCAGACGTCTGATGGGTCCAGACTGGCTCATGTGGTTTAAACTGGTTTTACTGGTTCTACCAGGTGGCAGATAATTAACCAGGATTAAATCTGAGCTTCAGATGGTGTGAAAATAAACCAAAGTTTTCCTCACTGTAGCACAAAGAAACATTAAATTTACTGTTGCAAAGTTGGTCTGAGAAAAAATTATGCCAAATTACTTTAAATTATTTTATAAAATTTATTAAATTCCCTCCCAGTTAGAAAAAAAAGGAGGTCTGATCCAAATGGACCAAGTAGGTAAAACCAATGACAGTAACTGTTCTGCAAGATATAGGAACTTGCTGTAAATAAATATTTCCTTAATATTGATAAAAAATACCTGCTCAATTGGCAGGTTATTTTATTTATAACATGAGAAAAATGTCTTGCTATAAGTTCAACTATCACCTTTTTGAAAAATCAACATTAAGAAATTATTTACATAAAACAATTTTAAATAAACAAGCTCCTCTATCTTATAAACAAGTTAGTCATAAGTTCATTTTTACTTAATTCAAGCGTACTGAAGTATTTTTGCACCAGAAAATAGACAAAAGCGCTTTATTTTGCAGTATGCGCTCTCCGCTTTGTTCTCAACTGAAATAACTTACACAAAAATCGTTCAGTCTTTGACGTTGAAGGCCAAGGCTGTAATTAATAAATGTGGCAGAAATCCGTCTTTCCAAATAAAAAAATTATTTGAAGGAACATTAAAACTCTTGTCTGAGATTATTTTCCTGAGCTGATGAGACCAACTCAACTTTTTAAAATAAAAAGATTTCAAAACTTAACAATGAATATGAGCCATTTAAAAAAAATATTCTCACCAGATGATGCCTCCGTAAAAGAAAGAGAAGATGAAATAGAAAGCGATTGAGCCCCACGTCACAAAATGGTTCATCCAGGTCCAGAACTGAGTCTCCAACGCGAGCTGGGAAAATAAGTCACGTTCAGAAATTGATGCAGGAACCGTCGGGGTTTGGCCTCGCTCCCAACAACCTATTACAAATTATCTGCTGGAGTTAATGGCCGCTGACATCATCCTCCTCACCACATACATCATCCCTGTCTGCACAGGTTACTAAGCTCAGAGACAGTGACGATGATTCAGACCAAAGTAAACAAACTGGTGGTGTAAAAACTTCCTTAAACTGGTCATTAATTCACACAATAAACCGTTAATTGCTTGGCGTTTACCTTCAGCGTGACGGTGATCACCATGACAGTAAAGACGAGCGTGCCGAACGTCCAGTTCCCAAACATCTGCAAGAAGCGACAGGTTGCGATGTCAGCAGTCAGCTGCAGTTTGTCTTCAGCTGAATAAACTTTATGATCAGAAAGAAACAGAAGCTCAGCTAACATGCACAGAATCCGTTAGTGGTGGAATATCTGCTAAGTTTACAGCCTCTTCTGTTTATTTAGATCACAGACGGTAAAAATCTCAGGTGCAGTTAATTTAACTTAAAGTACTATTTTAGAAAAATTTAAATGAAAACGTGTGGTGTGGTGACAGGGAGGAAAATGTGAGCGGATCCACTGCCTAGATTTGGATATTTAGAAGAAAAATCTTCTTAAAGGCTTAAAACGTCTCAGTCCAATGTTCAGTTTATGCTTTTTGTGCCATAATTTTCAGCTTAAACAACCAAAGACAGTCAATGTTCTGCAAACGGTTTTTCTCAGTTACAAAAATTATTTTAGGAGTGCACAGATTAATCAGAATCGGCCGATATTTACACGAGGAATCGATCTAATTCACTGATCTCATCTTCCTCCACAAAGGTCTGTAAATCAGCTACTGTCTATGAATCACTGTTGCCGTTTTAGTGACTGTCAGACCACAAAAAACAACAACAAAAAACAAACAACAAAAAATCATAAAAAATCATGAGCTGAAATCGGAATTGGCAGGTCAGACTTTTTAAAAACTGCTGATCGGCCAGAAAACTGCAATCGGTGCACTCCGATCTTTTTTATAAGGTTAAAGTTATGGCTTATTTTTATTTAAAGTTCATTGATCAAAAATCAGTTTTAAGAAATTATACATGCACTTAACTTGTAATTAGCATGTTAAACTATCCATACTCCTTGAACCTTCTAGTTGTTTGTCACACTACAAAAAACAAAGCTTAAATGTCAAGCTTAAAGAATCCATGGTGTGTCATTTAATCTCAGTAAAAATGACAAAGGTGACCTATTATGCTTCCTTGAAAATGTCAGGAAACATCTACGGCCTACACAAAACATGTCATTACAATGTTTTGCAGAAAATCGTTCTTGAATAATGAAATTTTAGTCGTTTTTAATACAAATGAGCAGCTGCTGGCCACGCCCCCCCTGCCCCCCCGAACTCAATGTTTACACTCGCACATGAAAATGGCTGCAAACAGATGTACAACTATGCAATCGCACATCTTAGAAAAGCAGAAGTAGAGCTTCCTACACAACCAATCAAGAAAAAAGCAAGTGGTTTCTGGTTGGTAAGTCAACAACAAAACGCTCGTCTTTTCCAGCAGCCGTTGTACACGGTGTCGAAACCGGCTGATCAAACCGCTCCGGTTGCTAGGTAACGGGCTAGGTTCCGCTCGGGTTGCTAGGTAACGGTGCAGTTAGCAAAAAAAACAAAACAATTATTCTAAAAAAAATAAATAAATGCACCTGGGTTGTTTTTAGAAGCAGTTAACATCCAAATGGAGACATGGAAAGAGGCAAAAAATTTATTTTGCATAATAGGTCTCCTTTTAAATATTTCTAGATGTAAAATCTTAAATTTTTTTTCCACTTTGCAAACATGTTTTACTTTGTGCAAAAATTTGAAGTCAATAAACTGAAGCTTGCAAATGTATTGTGACAGAATTTGCATAGAATTAATAATAAATTGAGTTCTTTAACACAGAAATGAAACTGAATCCATATTGAAGAGAATTATTGACAACATCTAAAGAGTAAAAGGGATGTTGATGAATCCTGGAGTCCTCCTATTAACCTCCCAAGGACATGCATTCAACTGTAGAGCAGACTCTTACCAGCTGCCTGTTAGCTCGCAACATCTGAAGACATGCACAGCAAGAAGGCAGAAGGAAAAAAGCGTAATCAACAAAAGATGGAAGGAGAGACAACCAACAGGGAATAATCAAAGTGAGGGCATTCAGAAACAGCAAACTACCAACTGAAAGAAAGATGGAGAGAAATGACGCGGGGAAAAAAGAGAGAATGAACAAACTGTCGAATAAAAAAGGGAAGAAATAGAGAGATAGAAAACAGCAACATCAAGTCAACAGTTGTGAAATTGCAGCAGGTTATTTCTACATCCAATAATAATAGTAATAATAATAATATCACTGAAAGCACACAAACACAAATATCCAAGCTGAATTTATCACCAAGGATTTATGGCTTGAACTACTGTTTTCCAGCTTAACAGAAGCAGCTGCGGAGAGCGTTTTTTGGCAAACAGACCTGTCCGTTGCTCGTGAGTGAGGCGTCCTCTCCCATCAGGATGTAGGCCCCAAAGAAAAACACAAAGGCGTGAGTGAAGCCCAACACCGTCCAGTGCAGGAACGCCCGGAACGACAGCAGAGAGTTCTTGCTGATGTCTCTGTGGGAGTCGCACAAATAGCAGTTTTATTCCCCAGCGAGCTTCATTACACTGCAAAACAGAAAATCTTACCCGGTATTTTTGTAGCTTTTAGTGAAAATATCTTGGTACAGTAAACTAACTTACAGGTAACTTTCAAGCAAGACATAGGAGCTTGTATTAATCCCTTAATCTGGATGTAAAAATACTACTTCCATTTGCAGATTATTTCACTTAGGAAATTTTCCCAATGTTATAAGTGAAACTTTTTGATCAATATTAAAGAATTATTGACTCAAAACAAACTCCTGAATATTGCTGCAAATTCACCTGTAAGTTAATTTTGTTTTGTTTTCAGTATACGAAGATATACTCCATGCTGCGTAGACACAAGGCCTCACCTGTAGAGGCCAGGTTTAGCCTGCAGGACGTCGGGGTGGACCAGCTGCTCAAACAGACTGTACACAAGGATGGGCAGCGAGGTGAAGCAGATGTTGTACAGCGTCAGGTAAACACTGTCATACAGAGTCTGGATGGGACACAGATCATTTCAACAGCAGATTATTAGACAAACAGGGCAACTAACTGTACACACACACACACACACACACACACACACACACACACACACACACACACACACACACACACACACACACACACACACACACACACAGTTTGGGTGAATGGGAAAAGAACTGGAGCTAATAAAAAACATTTATAAAGGTGCATGCACTTCCTAAAGAAAGGTAGGACATTATAATCTGATGCTTGGATCTGATGGACTCAGTTCGAAATCGCAACATTTGTTATGGTTTCAGTTGTTCTGCAGTCAAACAAAATAAACCTCTTGCAAAACCTGTTCTTCTCCTTGCCTGTGGGGGCGCTGCATGAAGAGTTTGTTTTTTGGTTTGCATCACAGTTCGATTCATTCTTCCTCAGACTGGACTTTCAGACAAACCAACCAGTTTGATTAAAGCAAACTTAACAAGGCTGGTGTGAATGGAGCCTTACGTACTTTAAAAATGAGGAAAAATGAACGAGATGTTGATTAGAAACAGAAGAGGAAAATAAGACTTACTTGTTGTGAAAACAAGCAGAAGAACTGGTAGAAAAACTGTGGCGTAGTAAAACACACATTCTAGAAAAAACAGAGTAAAAAACATAATCAGACATACCGGAGAGAAAACCGATTATTATAATTTTTAAATTTAAAGCCACTGAAATGCAAGCAGGGGGAACAGTGTTGGTAAATCCTACCTTGTAGAAAAAGTACTGTACAAGAGTAGCTACTCGAATGTAGTAGAAGTGGCCGTGGACCAGCAGGAGTTTAGCCAGGAACTTAAACCTGGCGATTGCATAGTCACTGTTTCTCACGGCCTGACGACCCTCCTTTCCCATGATGCCTGAGGGTTTGGACAGGAACAGCTCAGACATCTACAGCGCAGCTTCAGGTCGGGCTTGTGGTTTCGATGTGTGTGTGTGTGTGTTTACCTATGCCTACATGAGCTTCCTGTATCATACTGACATCATTGGCTCCATCCCCAACAGCTAATGTTATTGGCTTTTCTGGAGAAGTCTTTAGCAGACGAACAACCTGAAAAAAATGTAAAAAATTGGCCTAACCTTCATATTGTGTTGAATTGAATTCAAAGTTAAAATAAATAGAAGCTGTAAGACAAGATGGCCGCCCTGACATCACTCTGAACTATGGAAACCCAAGAGATCAATTTAATAAAAATGTAATCAATTAAAATCTATTTCATCCATCTATTTTCTACATTAGTTAAACGTGACAAAAAAAACAAAGTTCATGCAACAGCTCTTGTTTTCCAGTGTTGCTGTTTTTTCATTTAAACTAACAATATGAGATTAGAACAAGTTTCAGCAACAAGTGGGTCCAGAAAACATGATGAGATTCAGCAGTTAGACTAAAGTGTAATTCAGATACCTGAGCCGTAACTCATAATCTGTAGTTAATCTGGAGTTTTTTCCTGCAGTCTGCGTTTACCTTGGCTTTTTGCAGCGGGGCCATGCGACAGCAGAGCACAGCTGAGCAGTTTTTACACACTTCCATGAATAGCCTCTCATGTTCCCTCAATGCTAACGACAGACTAGCGCCGTCGACCACCAAGCCGTGCTGGATGACGTGGTCTTCCTTTATCCTGCAGACGAAGACGAGGAAGACAGCGGCACACAAAGCACGACAGGGAGTGAGTCAGAAATATTCATACGCTGGATTCTACTGTTCCTTCATCAAAAAATAATATTTTAATACTGAATGTTATTCCTGTTCATCACAAAGTTGGAACTGTAGAAATGTTGTGCATAAGTCAGGTTGGGTCTTGAGACTCGGGTGATACGGCTCGACAAATACAATTTTAGTGTTTTTCTTCCGTTTTTAAAAAAAAAAAAATTATTACATAAAAATACTCTTAAAAAGTGGTTTTAATTTCAATCATCTTTTAGGCCAACAAGAATTTTTGTTTAATTATTAAAATAAATCCATAAAATTAGCAGAAAAAACAAAATTTTCACAGAAAAAGTGTGATAAAAGTTTTACTGAGGTAAAAGCTTAAACCAATCAGGATCTGTTCTCAAAATAGACAATTATTTTAAAGTCCTGCTACAGATAATTTGCTACTGACGTGTTAAAAGTCTAAATATTTTTCTATTAATTATTACTCATTTTAATTATTTGTGCTCCAGTTCTTATAAAATTACAACTTTATTGTGGTGATTTTGATTTTATTCTTACGCCATTTAGAGTTTTTTTGTCATATGACTTTGGTCTTATTTTACTATGACTGTATTTTTGTGACATTATGACTTTATCCTTGTAAAATGTTACCCTAATATTCAATCATACAGATGTGAGTCCAAAGTGTTGAAAAAAAAAAGAAGCGGTAAAAAAACAAAGATGGCCGCCCTACCGTCACTCTGAACTATGAAACCCACGGAGGGCAATGGAGGAAAAAAAACAAGATTTTCAAAAAATTAAACCTTCAAAAACCAAAAATTTAATTAATTAATCCAATTGATTTATCGCCCAGCTCTAACTGAAATGATAAGAAATAAAACATATTTAGTTGCAGTTTATATTATTAAGTAAAATCACCAGGAGGCATGAAATTAGTTTTGTCATTGTAAAATTAGCCTTGTAATTTTCTTCAAACCTGATTAAACACATAAAAACCTGCTTGTATTTATGATTTACTAAAATATTAAATGATAATAATAGCAGAAGGAAATGGCAGGCACCTTCGGGCCAGCCTGCGGAGCTGCTCTGCACACTCGTTGTCCGAGCGCTGCTTCAGAAGCTCCAGGATGTTCATGGTTCGGTGGAAATGGCCGCACGACAAGCTGACGCTGACCGCCGTCTCGTGTTTGTCCCCCGTCAGCACCCATACTTTGATTCCCGCCAGACGCAGGACTTCGATAGTCTCTGGAACTTTGTCTTGAAGCCTGAGCAGCACAAGGAGGAGAACGTGTTCAGCGTTCATCACGCAGGGACATTAAGCACTTTCCAAACATTTTCAACGCCAGTTTTCAAACTTTTCCCGCAACACACTTTGGGGATTAAAAACAAATCAACTAAAGAACACGGGTTCTTTATCACAATAATAAATATATAATTTATTACTGTGATATCTTGTGATAGAACTTTGCATTTCACAGTCGGGACGATACAGATTAAAATATTAGAATTTTGTTTTAAAATGTTTTTCTTACACACATCTCATACACCTGACTGTCAAGACAAAAGTAACTGACCAGTAACTTTTCAGCAGGTTATGGGAAAAATTAAACCATGCAAATGGAAATTATTGCACTCATTTTAGTTTATTATGTGATTAATTGATTTATTGCGAAAGGTCCAATTACAAGTAGCAAGAAAAAGAGGCTTATAAATAATTGGTCAACAACAAAGGAAACGTTCTCGCCCTGCTGGCATTTCTTTCGCTTATAACAAAACGTTTCCAGAATTTTAAAGTATTTCAAGCCGCGGTGAGAAACCTGCACATAATATTCTGCATATGTGGAAAAGGCCGAGTTCATTTCCCTGACTACTCACTAACGCTCCTTGAGAGAATAAGGACACTTTCTATTACATGCAGTGACTTTTCATATCAGTGACTGTTTTTTATTTTTCATACTAGCCTGAAAACTGAAGGGAATATTAGTCATGACTTTCATAACATCGGAGCCTTTGATTGTGACCGAGAGTGACCGGAGAGAGAGAGCAGAGATAAAGTGTGAGAAGCTGAGGCATGAGAGCAGATGGTGAGTGGACACACACACACACACACACACACACACACACACACACCCACACACACACACACAGACTCACAGTCATGTCTAGAAACTGTATAATAGGTGTTAATAAGTTCGCTTCAATCAAGCGTCTGGAGTTGCTGATTTAATCAAACCAGGCTTCAGACGTTTCAATCACGTTTGGTTTGGCGTCGTAACTTTTCCTAATTATATGAAGTGAGGCCAACTGGGATCACTGGAAAGCTTTTATGGGATCAGAGGTTGGCTGAAATGGGAACTCTCTGATTTATAATGAGAGAAACCAAAATTTAAGAGCAAACGTATGAAGATTTGTTCAGTCTGGTGTTGAAATATTAAAGAAAATATAAATTAAATCCTGATCTCTGGCTGATTAACTCCCGTATTTCTAATCAGATTGCTATGATCAGCTTTAATAAAATGAAATAAACTCGTTACATTCCTTTTCATGTCTTTTAGATGGGATATTAATGTTCACTGTAAAAACTCTTCACAGCAGCAATATTGTTGGGAGTCAAGTTCAAAATCTCCGTACTTGTCTTCGACGCCGGTCGCTCCTAGGAGGTGCAGTTTGCTTTCGATGTAGGCGAAAGCTTGCTTCAGTTTCTCCTCGCGCTGCTGCAGAGCCGTGCGAGCCGACGTCAGCTGCTTGTCCAGATCGATGTACTCCTTCGGACTCAAGTGGCGGCAGGCGATGACAAGGGTACGCAAACCTTTCTGCATCCGAACACAGAGACCAATAAGAACAGGTTAGATGGAAAGTAAAGAAAACAAAAAAAATCAAAGACATGTCTTCATTTTCAAACATGAATTAAGACGATGAGGTCATTTCATGTCAAAGGGCAAAAATCAAGTGAAGCAGATGAGACGAGATTCACAACGGAGGAGAAAAGAGAAGAAAAATTCTCAAATTATCACAGCTTGGGTTTAATTCAGCGAAGCGGCCTGAAGGCTTCATGACCACAACTCAACCCAGACCGCAGCACCGAATCTGGGGCTGACATCTGATGATATGATGTGGAAAACGGACGTGTGTGTGTGTGTGTGTGTGTGTGTGTGTGTGTGTGTGTGTGTAAAGAGCGTCAGAGCATAAATTAACAACCTCATCATCTCTAAATGCCAGGCTTACACACAGAAACAACAGAGGCATGACACAAAAATAGTCAAAAATATTCACGTTCGAGTTTAAAGGTTTAAAAGATTCAGAAATAAAAATCTTAAGATTTTAAGTGTGTGATTTTGAAACATCTACTTTCATAAAACAGAATAAAGTGAGTTGATCATTTTTATACTCCAACGTTACTCATGTAGGAATGAAACAATTAATCATGTAGAATTGATTGAATTTAGTTATCCATTAATCGTTAATTGGAGGCAGAAAGAGGAATAAACTCAGAAAAGCCTTAAATGAAAATCTGCAGAATCTGCCTTTTGTTTTTATGCGATTAAATCAATTAATCGTTAGTTTTTAGTTGCAGCCCAGTACTAATGCAGATATTCAGTCGAAAGAGAAAGACAGTGTCTCACCAAAGCAAACTCGTCCACATGCAGCCTGGTTTTTTCAACCTCTCCAGTTGTGGCGAAAGGCAATATGGCCGACTCGGCACCCTTTGTGAAAATCACTTTCCCTCCTTGAAGGGAAACAAACAAACATATTAATAGACTCATTATCCTGCCTGGTCTGTTACTGTCTTGTCTTCTTAACGCTTTGCGGCTGAAGCAGGTCAACGTTACCTGAGGGAGTCTCCAGGATGACGCTCATCCTCCTGCGGTACGGATCGAACTCCAACACATGGAGCAGTTTATACCTGAGGCAAACAAACGGGATGTTACTGACTGACCAAAAACAGCAAATAATCAATCATTCTGGTCATTAATCAAATACATAAAAAAAACACATGCTGCAAAATTTTCATTTAACCATTTTAAGCTTTTTGTACAATATTAGAAATTCATTAAAAGATGGAGACAAACCAATCAATAAACTTATTATTGACTAAAATCCAATAAAAAAACGATTCCTTTAGATTTATTTTACAGAGTTTAAAACGAGTGAAGCTAAAACTGCAACTTGAAGAGTTCTGGGTACAACATATTCAACGTCAAATGTTTTTTTATTGCATCTAAAATACTAAATATATACGTTTCTGTGCAGTTTTAGCTTGGCTTCTGCACTGGCCTGTTATTTTAACAAATGGCCATTTTGAGTCTATTCTCCAGTTAATGATGAATCAATTAATAAATTAGTTGACGATCAATATCAGACCTGCAATATACAAAAATTAAAATCCTAAAAATTATTTAGATCAGATCTAAATTTAAAACTGGAAATATTGATCTTATGCTGATTGATCTGTATGATTGAATTGATTTTTTTCCGTGAGACAGCCTGTGTTGTGAATTGGTGCGATGCAATTAAACCAAAGTGATCCGTTTTGATCGGCTGCGTGTTTGAGATGTCGGCTTACTTTTCAGATTTCCCAAATGTATTTATTTCCATGGTGTCCCCGCTGCAGCCTGTGAACGCCACGCCAAGTCTGAAAGGAAGGCAGCAAAACTTCATCTAAGACTCATTAACAGACAGAAATGTTTGAAATGTCCCAATCAGAAGGAACGATGCCGCAGTTTCTGGCCAAGAAAACAAAAAACAAAAAGAAAAAAAAAAGTATGGTTGCCATGGTGATCCCAAATAAATGTCAACAATTTAAAATGTCAGTAAATTAATTATAAAATCATTGCACGCCTGAGGTACTTTAAAGTCCTGACGTGTAAAAATTAGGGTGATGACCAGGAGGCTTTTCACCCTCAAAGATCTGAAGCTCTTTAAGAAATATTGAAACACAAGTGGAAAAAAACAAAACAAAAAAAAAACCAGTTTTGATTCCTGTAGTATCAATAAATACTTTTCCATTTATGATTTAGAAGGATAAAAATAACTTTACTTAATATTTACTAGAATGTGAAGCATGAGTAAAACACAAATATTCCTTCAAAATTGTTCTTTAGGTTTTTTTGTCTCATTCCATATTTTTGTTTGGTTAAATGAAAACAAATTTAAATGAATGTAAAGAATATTTCTGGACCTATAATATTTAGCTTAGCAAAAGCCAGTCTGACTTTGTCCTGAAATGTTTCCTCTCTATTGTTGTGAAACTAAAACTGGGTCTGTTTGTAGCTCAAATATGCTGGTACTCTGAACATGGTGGCACCATTTTAAAAGCGTCATTTATTTATACGTTTCCGCCGCAGGCCGTCGGCTGCGCGAGTCTCCAGACTGTGCAACAAATTACTGCCTGCATTAAATTTCTGTGGCACCAACATGAACAAGTGACTGAACACCAGGCTGTATCAGACACGATTAAAAAATGGCAGGCATAAGATGAAGTTTGGCTCCATGTCAAAGGTTAAGAGTTACATATTTCATTTCAGGCAGTGAAATAAAGATGTCGTGTTTTCGTCTACATTACTAACCTGAGCAGCATTGCTGCCTCATTTAAAGGCAAGGATATGAAACTATAATGAAACTAAACATTTTTCAAACGCATTATGTAATAAATACAAAGCCTGGTTATATTTTTAAGCTTTCATGGCTTAAAGGGGCAGCACTGTGAATGTTCCAGGCACATACACAATTTTATCACACAACCAGGTAACTGCCAGTTTTTACAGAAATGCTGTAAATATCAGACAGAATTAAGGGTAACGTATTATCCTTCGTTCAACAGGTTAGGATCGGTGATGGGTTAAACACATTCATGGCATTCTTTGCACAAAATCATTCTTTGATGAGAGAAATTTGCCTTGAAATTGGCCCCTGTCTCTTTAAGAAGCTCCTACTCTTTCTGACACTGGTTTCAGTGCGTCTGTGTGCCATTTAAAACAGCTTTTAGGAACGTTTCCAAGAGAAACGGTTCATACGATGATCTCAGCAGATGCACAGATCTATCAGATGTTTGCTAACTGCTGCTGCCACTAGTCTGGAGGAGCCGATTGGGGGAGTTGTATGGGAAGGCTGCTTTGTGAGACAGAAGCTTGGCTGAAGCTCCAACATAGTTGATTTTACATATTACATATTTTTATCCCCTGTAAGGTAGTAAATATTAGCAAAAAGATGAGTTTAAAGTTATTCACCTCCTCGCTGCCTCGACCAGAGCCTTCTCATCCGGCGAGGCGGCGTAGTACTCCATGTGGCTGAAGGCGAAACTGTCGGTGTGGGAGAATGGATCCCCTCCCAGCCAAGTCTCTGACTGGTTGTAGCTGATTTGGACGGTGTGACACAGTGACACGGCCTTGAGGAATAATAACTCCTCACGCAACTGGACGGAAACACGGTGGAAAAAGGGAGAGATTTCACATCTTGTTCTGTAACTACGGTAAACCGATTCAGAAAAACGCATATACACAGAAAGAATAGAGAATAAATTAGTAAACAGCATTTACAGCTGCAACATTCTGACCTGGATTAAGAGCTAGAAACTAAGATTTATTTCATGTCAGACCCGATTTCTAAATTTGATTTCTTTTTGCCTTCTTTTCTAAAAACAAAAATATTTTGAAAAGTGCAGCTTTTACTCCATCATTCCTTTTCTGACTTGTATCTGAATCAGGTTACAATAAATTTTGTTTATTTATGAGACAATAAGTTAGGATGATGTTTCTTTGTCAGATTAAATTTATTTCTTGAAAATAACCAGTGAGCAGATTTTAAATATATTTTTTATTATGTTCAAATTTCTGTAATAAAAATGTCCTAATTCTAAGTATCAAACCTTAACCTAATTATCATTATGAAAAAAGACTTAAAAGAAGCATCTCAATGACTTAAGGGACTGAAATAAATATCCTAATTTACTGAATGAGACTAAATGAAAACATTGACAAATCTGGACACTTTAGCACAAAGAAAAGGAAAATTCTGCAATTCGTTTCATATTTTTACTTTGTGCAGCAGTTATTGATGTGAATTACCAGCTGGGGTGAAGAACCGCTTGGTGACTCCCCCGTCCTCCCCTCTGGTACCAGTTTGCCATTCATCTCCCGGTACTTGATGCCGTTTATCGAACACTCGCGGAACTGCATTTCATTTTCTGTTAGCGTACCCGTCTTGTCTGTAAACACATATTCAACCTGCAGGGAGAAAAATAAATACATAAATCACAACAAATTCTTCAGAATCCATTTTATTTTTGGTATCAGTTGTTTTTACCTCCTTCTCATTTATTGCTTTTAGTTGTTGTGTTTTGTTTTGGATCTTTAAATGTCAATGTGGCTCTGTATGAGAGCACAAATTTGGATTATTATTACACCATTATTATCATTATCTTACTTGAAAATTGTGTTAAAATCGCAATATAATTTTTTTGAGGATTATGACATCTTCCCTTTATTATAAATTCAAATTTAAGATGTGTATGAAATGCAACTGCGCTGTTATTTTCTATAATGTGTGGTTTAAAAGAAACCAAATGTTGAAATAAGTAAGTGACAGACTAGAAAATTAAAATTCAGATGCCTGGATCCTGGACTGAAACATTTCTAATTTAGTTCTTTTCTTTTTCATACCTGTCCCAACTCCTCATTGAGATCAGACGTGTTGACCTGAGCTTTCTGGTTACTCTCCTCGTGGTACAGGTCCAAATCCCAGCTAATAAAAAAGGAGCCCAAAAACTTCTGCATCTCCACAGTAACGTAGAGCGAGATGGGAATGATGAAGTTATAGAGAACCAGGAACGCCAGGAAGTCTGAGATGAACTGAAGGATCTGGAGAAGGACCAGAGGAAATTTTATTTGTTATAAACATGAAATAAAAAACACACTGAGAAAGAAAAAGAAAAGGAATAAGGAAATAGAAAACAAAATATAGAGAAAAGAAAGAAAGGAAAGTCACAGAAAAGCAAAAGAAAAAAAAGAACAAAAAAATTAAAACATAGAAAAAAGAAAATTAAAACTAATGAGAAAATAAAAAAAGAAAAAGAACTAAAAAAGTTAACTAAAGAAATAAATAAAAGAAAAAGCAAAAAAAAAAAAGAAAAGAAATCACTGATCAATCCTATTATGAAATTAATTACTGTTTGTGGGGAACGAAAAAAGAAAACTGATTATGAGACAGCAGCACCAAGAATCAACTTCATATGTTCAAACTTGAATAAAATTTCAGATGCAAGTAAAAGAAACCACAATTATTTACAAAAGAAAACAAAAATACTTTGAAGTGTAATTTGAAATCAATTGTTTGAATACTGGGTCTTCCACAAACGGGGACGGCCAGCCTGCAGGTCTGAGGCACCAGAACCGGCAGATGGGCATCACAACGATTAGAAACTAGTTTTTGTTCTTCATTATCACTGAATCTGCTCTGTGTGCTGGGAGGTCTGATCACCATCTAATCAGAATGAAAACAGGTCTGGTGTGTTTTGGTGACACACAAGTGGAACAGCGTAGAAAACATCTGTGGCTGGTCAGACTGACCGGGCTGCTGTTTCTCTCCTGCTCGGTCTTCTGGTTGTAGAAAGGCTCGTTCCACTCGTCTTCGGCCTGCCAGGTGTACTTCAGGATGGTACTGAGGATCGCCTCCGACAGCAGGATGACCAGGTAGATGATCAGGAAGGTGTTCATCGACCTGAAACACAGCGGCTTCAGTGTTTACCTCCGACAGAAACGCTTCCCCAGTCAGCCGGGAAGAAAGAAAGCGCCATACTTCTCAACAGCCGAGCGTTTCTGGGACTTGCACTTGTAGTTGAGCGCCATCTTGGATTCCATCCCTGTATAAACGGCCACACCTGCAACAGCACAGCAGGTCGAGGTAATCACACCAACAAAACGGTCAACGAACACCAGATAATATCGCTCACAAAATAAGAGTTTCATATCAGCCAATATTGATAAGTATTGATTTGGTTTGTTTGTTATAAATGTCTGAAATATTGCCAAACTTGTAGCTTGACCTTTCACCCGGTTTTCTCTCCACCGGGTTGTTTATTTATTGAAAACAGTTCGGAGGCGCTGGGAAAAACCTGAAGCTGCTGCTGCGCTCGTTACTCGGCAGGCCGTTGCTAGGTAACCGCCGTTACCTGGCATGTTGTTGCTAGGCAACCCAAGAGCGAGCGAGTTAGTCGAAGCCACCAGAACAGCGTGGCTCGCTGTGAGAGGTTGAGCTGCCAGAGTCTGTCCTCTGCTATCAGTGAATATTCTACATGTTGAATTTGCTTTCAGACACATCATGTAGTGATGTTGATCACAGATAAAGTTATTCATTTATCTTTCTCTTTTCTGTGACAACGCATTTTTGCTTTGCTCTCTTTTCCAGACTCACCAAATATTTCTTTGGTATTTTTCAACCTGGCCCCTCGCAGCAGCAGGTTCTCTGGACCCAGCGGTCTAAAAACGAAAGAAAGCAAAGTGAACACAAATCCACAGAACTGGTTGAGAAAGAGGATACTCTAAACAAGCATTCCCATTTATCTTTAACGTTGGTCTAATCTGGCTCAGCAGGCTCGACCCACTTCAAGGCGTAAACGTTGGCATGTTTTCCATTGGTCTGATTTTTAGTGTCTCCTCTTCCAAAAGCGTAAAAATGTATCCAATCACTTAATCTCAGATATTGTTTTTATCAATTATTTTGGGCCAAATATACCGAGATGTTTAATCTTTTTAACTTCATTCTACTGCATCATAATGTTAATTTAACATAGTAATAAAAAGCCCAATTACAAGACATAAGCTGTAGTAGTAATCAAGCTAATAATTGTCAGTCTTATTTTGATTTATTTTATAATTTCCTGCTGGTACAATAAATTGGCAATTCATAGAAATACAGTAGATCAATCAGGCTGATCTGGGCTGACAGTTTGTTGTTAACTTTGATGTCTAAACTGACTATTATGGTTTAGATGGGGGTTTTATGTTCTCGGGTCGTTAGCACAAATGAGTAAAATATGAAGCAGGTTTTACTATATTGCCCTACTTTATTTCTCTAACCTCCATCTTGTTTTCAATTAACTCAAATATATAAAAGTAATTAGTTCAGATGTTTATAGAACAGAAAATGACAGTGTTTTTTTGCATCTATTAGAATAAAAAAGAAAGACTTTCCACCTGCTTATCTGTGATTCGAACCAATTAAGGAAATATGATCAATTACAACCTCTGGCTGATGGATTTGTTCAACTTTAGACAGAGGAGTAACTGGATAAAACTTACCGGACGATCTCTTCTTCTTGCTGCGTCACAGTTAAACGTCCAACAAACCTGGAAGACAGAAAACACATTTTACCACTGAGTGGAAACGCAAATAAATACAACTTCAGGCTGAGGAGAATTAACTATTACTACTACTATTTACAAAGCAGCATGAAAGGCAGATGTTTAGAAATCACCTCATTTTAGCATCCATCAGCTTTTATTTTTATTTTTTATTTTAAAAAATTGGTATTTGCCAAAATCAGGATCAGCAGGTCAGGCTTTTTAAAGTTCGGTAATCTGCGATTAAAACTGCAATCGGTGCACCACTAGTAGAATGATGTGTGGATAAAAGCGTAGATTATGAATAAAATGTATAAATAAAAGCATAGATTACCTGCAGAATGACATATAAAGAAATGACTGTACATTAGGTACAGAGTGACGTGTGAATAAATTACCTGTAGAGGTCGGCCTCAGGCTGCTGACACTCCACCACGGCGTCCAAGGCCTCCAGCTGGGACACCGACTGACACACCGACGTCTCTGGCACAGAAAAATGGGTCTACAAGAAAAACAAAGTTTAATACTGATGTCAAATTAGAGAAGCTTTTGAACAAGCTCAATGACAACTAACAAATACAATGAGGAAGATTTTTGTTTTTGTGAAGTAAAAACCATTTAATAAATGTTGGTAGAAGGCACAGTTAATCAATCAATTGATCGCACGATAGATTAAAATGAGCTTGATATCCGTCATTGTGATAATTAATATTTGTTGAAGGCCAAAATTCTTAATCAGAATCCATTTTGTTTATGGTTTCGGTTGTGTGTGGAATTTACTTTTATTTAATGTTTTTGTGTTTTATTTTGGACGTCATCGTCCAGTTCTGTACAAAATTATAGCTTATTGGAGGGTGAATTTGTATTATGTCATTATCGATATTACTCAAAACAATAAATATAGTTTATAACAGTAATTTCTGGAACGTCCAGTAAGATGTGTAATCGTGACCTACCATAAAACAAACCACGCTTGTGTGAATTATATTTCAAAAAGAGTAAATAAATGTGTGTGTAAATAGTAAAATGAGGTATGACTAAAAGTGAATAGCATAAGTAGATTTGAACAGATCGATCGGTCCTGATCGGTTATAACCGATATTTCACATGTGGAACTGATCTTACTTTCCTCTGTCTGAAAATCAGCTGCTGCTCTTTTGAGCTGACTGGTTAATATCAGTCATCTAACTGCTGCCAACTTTGCTTTGCTGCTTTATTTAGAGACTTTTCAGGACTTTTTCTCTCTTTCTAAGCGATTAGCCACAAACATTTTCTGTGTTATTGAAAACGCTGCCAAGATGCCAAGATAATGTTCGTCGTTATCTTGATTTTATCTGTTCTTACTGTGCAGGTAAACGTATTGTGTCTTTTTTAAAATGTAATTTATAAGTAAAATGGAAAATAAAAACTTTAATTTCAAGTTCTTACACGTTTTAATTCAACATGAGTTTATTTCAAACGTATAATCTTTCAATCTGACATTTCAGGATTCTGGACTTTCCTCCTCCAAATGCATTACACTAAAAATCAAACAAAACACACACAAACAAGTAACTGAGGCTTCCATTAGATCATTTATCTATTTATGTTCTTCGATCACATGAGGAGGTCAAAGTTAACTCTGCATCTAATCGACTTTATGAAGGAGTCGCAGGTCAATAAAAATCGAGATGAAAGGTAAGAGAAACTCAAAGAACAGAGTGAAAAACAGACCAGCAAAAAACACAAAACGTTACCAAATATTTCTAAAGTAAATGTCTTAATGGACTTAAAATAAGACTAAACTAACTTACAGCTAATTTTTCAGCAAGATTTGGAGTTTATTGTAAGTAAATAATTCCCTAATATTGATTTTAAAAAGTGCTGTTTGCATTTGCAGATTATTTCACTAAAAACATAGAAAATGCTGATGATGGTTTTATATATTTAATAAAGCATCATTTAAAAAACCAAGACATTTTATATGCATTACACTGAAGAGTTTGTGTTTCCTGAACAACATGCGTTTGTGCTTTTAGCATTAAATGCATCTAGAGGATGAGGATCATGAACACTACTGAGTTACAGACAAAAACCTAAATCACCAGAACTCTATAAGTGATGTTTTATTCTAAAACATCAGAAACACACGATCGTCTTCCCACACTTGTTTTCCAGAAGACAGACCTGTTCATTTGAATGGCCCTGGAGAACGCAGAGGCGTCCAACATGCAAAGACGTTGATTTGATTACAGGCTGCAAACAAACCTTAAGGTTGGTTTCTCCATCAAGGCTGGCGGTGGTGATGTGACAGGTGCCGTCCACACGATCCGACGACAGCAGCACCAGGTCAGCTGGGAACGTCTCATCCTTAGCAACACGGACAATGTCCCCAACCTGAACATATAGTTAAAAAAAACACAACAACAAAGGTTGGTGCAAGCCCATATTTTTCTTTAGAAAGGTTTTTGTTGCACTGTTGTGTAGTGCTTATTGTGCTGATGAAATATGTTGCGGCATCATAAAGTCACAATAAATACACCGATAGTTTACAAGGATTCAACCTGTTGCACAAATCTTTTAGCTTTAATTAATGTTATAAGTATTTTAACAAATGATATAAAGGCCTAAAATGTTGACTAATGAAAAGACAAATTAAAACTTATCTAAATGATCAAATCAGAACAAAAAACATAACATTTTGTAGGCAAAAAATAAAGTGATAAAATTATAATCCAGACTACAGTTAATCTGTGTTCCACTTAATCTAAATCAAAAGCATGATTTGATTTAAAGGGGAAGTGTTATGCATTTTCCCAGCCACATAGAGATATTTTATAAAAAGTATATATATATATATATATCAAACACAAATTAAAACAAACTTTACTTCATAATTTAACTCTTTGAAAATGGGTCTCTGTCTCTTTAAGAAGCTCCTGCTTTTTCTGAAACTCTGCCTTCAGGAAGTCATACCAAGATGGCTCCTCCATTAACCCTTTAACGTTTTGCCAAGCGTTACTCTGAGCAGTTCTACCAGCTGTTTGCTAATTGCTTCTAGCTAGTCTGAAGGAGCTGAGCCTCACAGCAGAGCTAGGCCATCCAGGTGTTTTGCACAGCTAAACAGTCTCCAGGTCTGCTTAATAATCAGGGAGCAACATCATAACATGATGCAAAGCTCAAAAAAGTTAACTTTACATAATACTGCCCCTGGGAGTCGGTGCTTTGGACGTTTTGCAGTTTTCTGGAAGTTTGATCCAGATTACTGAAGCATAAACATTTAACGCTGCTTCTCCCTGTTCGGTTCTAGTTTGGGGGATGCAGAGGAGAACCAGAACCAGAACCTCAACTTCAATAAATGGTATAAAAAATGTTTGTTATAGTGTTGTTGTTTTTTTTGCCGTCTCACCCTGATATTTTTGGATCTCGTCTGGACCAGACTCCCACTGCGAACCACAAACACTGGAGCTCCGTTCACCTCGTTGTCCGCTTTGTGCCTCAGCCAGTCCTCATAGCCCTGCGAAAAAAACGTAACTTCAGCATATTTAACAGTTCCAGTGTTAAAAGTTTAATAGAACTTAAAGTTTATTCATCTTTCAGAATGTTTTCTTCCGTTATCATATCGTTGTTATATAATCACTTATCGCTATAACTTCTGGTACAATTACATGTCCACCAAAATGTGTTACTTATTTATTCCTCATTTTAAGTGTACTAACATATCTGAACAACAAACTAGACCAAATAATATAGTGCAATAAAGCATTTTGGTTTTTGTTCCACATTTTCAGCACAAGCAAGAGGAAGTGAAGGTTTACTTCTGTTCTCACCTGTTTAATAGCTGTAACTGTGATCACAAAGAGGAGAGGCAGCCCGCTGGTAACTGGGGAAGTCGGAGTGTCTATCATTAACTGCAAAGAAACAGAGAAATGATGGGAGTGGAGGCGTGAATGGGGCCGTGGAGCAGAGCGCCGCTGAGGGCGTGACCTTTCAGAGAAACGAACCAGAAATGCAAGAGGAGTAGCGGCTGCCGCATCGAACAGGAAATCTCTACAAACTTCCCTCCAGTCTTAACTAGCACAGCTGAGAAAGTGGCCACACATGCACATGTTTAAACTCCGCTTTCTTAAAGTCGCTGAAGAGTCAAATGTCCCAACAGAAACAACAGTTGGGACACTTCATATGATACTTTAGATTTTGTGATCTAAAGTATTGTTAGATTTTAAATTCAAGTGAATTTCTAAAATAATGTGACAGTCCAGCTGTAAGTGCAAATGTAAAACCATGGCAAGTATTTTTGTTGAGCTTTTAAAGTCGTCTGTCCTGGGCGCATGAAGGTGGTTTATGAAACAGGAAATGTGCAGAGTGAAAGCGACTGAAACAACAACAAAAAAAATACAGGTTGTGAGTTTGACACGCCTGGTTCTGCAGAGCTGCTCGACCACCAGCTCTTATTTAATTTCCTGCAAAGCTAGCACCACCAGTACCTGATACATTTTCTAACACTTCCTTATTATTGTATTTTCTGTGTGTATTGGTGGAAAACAATGCGTTTTATGTCTGTTTTTGTATTATATCACAATGAAATGTTTTTAAAATACCACACATATCTCCACTTTTACATTAAAAAGATCTGCAAAGGGTAAGTATTGACTATTATTTCTATTTTATTTTCCAAGTAAACATGTTCCTTAGTGGATTTGATATGAAATCATCACCAGATGTTGTTTAGTAACAACCCACCCAGGTCCGTAAGTTAAGCTACAAGTAATAAAATTAAAAGGTAAAAGAGGGAAGTATTGAATGAACACATTTGGTGAAATGTATTTACTGCTTGGTACAAAAGTTTTTAAAATGGCTCCGGTACATAGAAACTATTCGCCTGCATCCAGGCGGGATTTTAATTCATTCTTCTAACTCCTGAATGTTTTGCCGTTTGGCTGAAACATGAAGAGATTTCTAAAATAAAACTGCTGCCATGATGCGTCCGAAAGGTCGGTGGACGTTGGCGACGTCGTTGTATCGGAGCTTTTCTCGCCGTCACTTCTTCCCGGTCGGCCATGTTTGTTTACTCTGAGCTCATGTTTGGTCTCGAGGTTTATCAGGATTTCCCATCTGACCTCTGAGCGTTGGTGGATGAAATCAGTTTGTGGGCAAAAAGCAATAAATCAATTAATCACATGATCAAACTGGATAATAAAAGTCTTCAGTCTGGTGTTTTGGTCTCGACTTGCCCCTTTTCTGAAGGATCATTTGTTCACAGAAACTTCCTTATCAACTTATTTGTTGTTTCTGTTTTATTTATTTTGTATATCTATAATGTTTCCAGTTCTTGTGTTAAATGTTCAGCAGAATTTAAAGTTTATCTCTAAGAACATGTTTTTGCCTTGTTATTAAGCCATTATATTACTTGAAATTATTCTCATAACAATATTATCATTCATTGCAATAACTGTTGGGACAATTTATCATCCTCCTAAATTTGTTAATGCGACAGGTCTGTGAGGTTTACACCAAACCTGCTATAGATCATTTATCCTCATGTTTTTGGTCTCTGGGCTTTTAAAAATCTTTAATCATCTTTGATAATTATTAAAGACAATAAGATCTTGCAGGGGACGCCTGGTTCTGGCTGTTTTGGAGTAATGAGGTTCTCTTACACATCTGCATCATGATGCAAACAGCTCCGACTGGAACCTGCAGTGGTTTAGAAAGTCTTTCATAATCGATACCATCAGCATGATTTGCAACAGCAGCAAAGATCTCATTGGTTTTTCCCATTATGAGACGTTATCACTTTGGTGCCTTTTTACAGGCCATCATCAAAAATCCACAGATTATTGACTCCAAGAGGCTGAAATGTTTTCTAATTACTAGCAGATTTCAGGGTTTTTCTTTCCTCTTTCCATTTTGTCACACATAACCCAATAAACAGGGAGGGCCATAAGTTTCCATACATGTAAAATGTGTATTTCTTCCTTTATTGTGCCTGCAAGTATTTTGCATGTTTATGTTAATTAGGTGAAGTTATTACCAGATCATTTTCTAATTTTGACAGATCACACAGTGGCATTTATACCCAACGCAAAAAATCAACAACCAATTCAGGTGATCGGCAGAGATCGGCCTCATGGTTTTTTGCTTTCGGTATTGAAAGCAAAAACCAAATTTGACCCAAGAGGCTCAAACTGTCCATTTCAGAAAATGTCCCCTTCACTTCTCACTTCAGGACAAGATGTCTTCAGTTTCACTGACAGCTTGTGTGGGTGAAAAGACCAATCCTGAGACGAAGCCAAGATGATTTCTTTGGAGCATCAGGGCCACGGCAGAAGCATCTGAAAGCCAAATCCATCGTCTATGCAGACTGACTGATTCGCTGTGAAGGCACGGTGCTTTGGGCCAGACGCAGCGACACAAATATTACCAAACATGTGGGTGCAGCGTTTGGTTTTTTTATGTTTTTTAAATGAAAACACAGCAGACCTCTCTCCTTCCAGGTCCTCAGAGTTAATGACACGTTCACTGATGCACGCACACACACACACACACACACACACACACACGTTAATGTGAGCAGCAGAGGAGCTGAGGTCACACATGACTCATCACCAGCTGACGGAGGAAAACACGCACTCGCTGAACCGATGTGTGTTAATTTACCTGCACAAGGAAGATGATGAGGAAATAGAAGTTCGCTATCCTGCGAAACTGCTCGAACAGATTCTTGGGGACAAAATTCCAGACTGTGTACTGAGAGAGAAAAATTAAAAAGGTTTGAATATCTGGATCACACCAAAATAATCCAAAATACACTTTAAATCACTCTTTCAGCACAACATTTAATGTTTTCAAAATCCTTTTCTGTGAAAATGAAAACAGGTCAATAGATCAGACATGAAAGTCTCAGTCTGTTGGCAGCCAGCAGGCAGACTGGACAGTACGGATTAATTAACTTTCCAACATACAAGTCTTTTGTTTACGCTTTGCTCTGCCATCGTCAAATAAACCTGGAAACATTCATTTTAAATCAAACTACAGGCTAATTAATCCTACATTGGAGATTTCCCTGCATCATTCGTCCTTTTACCGGAGCTGCTGTCACTGCTCAAACAAAATAAAATAAAATCAATGTAAATCAACTTATACTGAAGGAAATAAAATATTTTTTCTATCAGCTTATAGTGAAACAACAAACCAGGACACAGTAACAAAGCTAAGTCTATGTCAGAGACTAGCTACGCTAAGGGATAGTTTAACAGTCTGGATCAGAAAAGCTAATCGGCTAAGAACGGTTGGTCCACCAAAATCCTAATATTTATGGCTGTAACAGATTCTGATACCTTGCATGAGATGATTTTGTTGTCTGCGAAGTTCTGCGGTATGTAATGGCCAATCTCGGGGAAACGGTTTGCTACATAAACAGTCCTGGTGTCACTTTGATGAGGAGGGTCAAAGCCCTGACAAAACAGAGGCAGAAGGGAGGAGAAAACAACTTACTCTGGTTGTTCCTACGGCAGGAAGATGTAGATGTTAAAACACAGAACACACACAGCAGCCAGCAGTAAGTTACGAAATACACGATTATATTGCAATCAGAACCAAAGTGGCAAAACAGAAACAACAGCTACAAAAAATACAGTATAAACTAATTATTTTAGTTATCGATTATTTTATCGATTATTAGGACAATTTATTGGGAAAAAAAAACCTCCAAATGCAGCTATTTTTTTATATTTAACTGTTTAAACCTTTCATATACATTATTAGAAACACACTAATAATCCTGTTTTTTTTTTCTATAGGAAAATAAATATTTTACTGCCTAAAACGCATTCCTTTAGTAAACGCCAAATCACTTGTAGCAAAAGACGAATCTCCGGTTAAAAAGTACTTCTAACATCAACGTGAAAATCTTGGCGCTTTCTGCTTGTCTTAGCATAATCACAGCACATAGCTAATCTGATGCTAATCTTCTGGTTTAATCAATTCATAGTTGGATTAGGGAGGAACCGTTCCACTGTGAGGTTTAGTATTCGATAAAATAAACAACAGCTGAATTAACTTGAAAGTTTTCTCTCTTTTTTTGTTGCAAACACAGACATAAATATAACTCTGCACCAGTACAGCTCCCTTAAACACACCGACAGCTTCTCCAGCTTGGTCAAACGTGAAAACATCTTTAATTTGTCCACTCAGCTCAATTCGCAGCAAAATAGGTCATGTAGAAATAAATGATGAAGAAACGGAAACTGACAAAAATAACAGGTTGACTACTTTGGTGAAGCATGTGAAACATAAACAGCAACAGAGTTTCTGTCAAATGATTCAGAAAGTAAAATTAGGAATTCTAGATATAATGTAAAATAGATAAGGCATAACGTCGCTCAGAGCACAAAGTGTAGAATAAGACTGAATAGATCTGCATTTATAGATCGGGTATATTGTCTCCAATACCCGGTCTAGAATGTGTTCAATATTGAATCAGTACAGATATAAATATTGGATTGGTGCATCTCTAAAAGGTGCATTTTCTAGTTAATTAGCCGGTTAGTAAATTAATTGATTCATTTGGTCTCACCAAACCAACTCGGGTAATAAAATTATTGACGGCAAACGGCATCTCCCGGTTTTTACTTTGGATCAGTGATTTGCAGAAATTTCTCATCTGGTCAGAACTCTAAAGTCTCACAGGGTGGTAAAGAGCAGTAAAGAAACCGCTTCCTAAATGGTAAGACTGGCATAAAAGAATTTAAAAAAGCTACGCAGAGTAACATCCTGGTTATGAATGACCTACACTGAGACTGATGTACCTGATTCGCCTCTGTGCTGGGGACTGCTGCCGGTGATTCACAGGCAAGGCTCAATTTAAGATGAAGCTGAACTCGGAGGCTGAGGCGCTTGGGACTCATGATTTACTTTGGACACCAGAGTTTCTGTTTTTGAAGAACCTGCAATTGATGCTGTTGGATTTCAAAGGGAAGTTGTGAAATAAACTGAACGACTTGGCACCAAAACGCATGAAAGAGCCGCCGCTGTCGTCATAGCTACCCTCCTGACCGCCCGGGTCTTCTGGTTCTGGTCCGCTCTGCGTCCCCAGAACCAGAACCATATATAGAGAATCAGCAATCAGCTTCTATGCTCCTCTAATCTGGAGCAAACTTCCGGAAAACTGCAAAATTGCTGAAACACTGACTTCCTGGTTAGCATTACAGGTAACACTTTATAGGGGAGGGCATAAAACTGACATCACAAACATGGAGGAATCTCCGTCACAATATTTGTAAGTGTTGTCATGAAGTGTCATTTAGCGCACCGTGTTCTGGCCGGTTATTACTTGTGTTGCGCAGCGCTCTCACTTCCACTTGAGTTGTTGACGAAAGCTAAGTGTTAGCAGCACAACGTCCAATTTTCAAGTTTGACCGGGGAGGATTTTATTGACTGATGATAAAGTCTGGATTTTATTGTTTTCGGGGGACCAGTAAGCATCCTTAAAATGACGGGAGCGATGTCTGAAGTACGGCAGCTTTTCTCCTCCTGAACCTGCTGGTTCAGAGCAGTAAAGGTGCGTTTACACATGTGAGAAGAAAGACTGAACACGAAAGACAGACGAACGAATGTGTCAAATCCCGTCGCCAATATGAACACAAAAGCTATAAATGGCTGGGAAAGGTGAGAGGTCATCTATTGAATTGACTGAAAATGAACAAACTAAAAGCTGGACTATAGACATATTTTCATAAGCATGTTTGTGAGCCTGCCTTTTTAAGTTGAATATAATTTCATATTTTGTAAACTTTTCTAAGGTTACCTTAGAAAGTGAGCTATTATTGTTACAGGTACATTTTCCAAACTACATAAAAGTAACTGTTAGGGATGCTCAAATATGAAAACTTGGACTGATCCAATAGTAACACTGCTGTTATGCTAGATTTACCAATGTTTCGTTTGCCATTTTTTATCCAATTACTCAATTAATAATAATAATAATCGACAGATTACTCGATTATTCATTTACAACAGGCATATTTAAGTGTCATCATTTACTAAACAATGCAAAGTTGACAATGGACTGTTAATGCAACTTAGTTTTAAAACGTCATTATTTACCATATGACACTTTATGACACCAGTTATAAACATTTACAAAGACTCCTTCATGTCAGTATTGAGTTACCCAGTTGCCTTTGATCCCTAGTAACTGGCACATTGATCAACATATCTGGTACATATTTTCTTGATGATTTTTATTATGGTATTTGATAAAATGTGATGTTTTTGCTTGTTTTATAATTTATCATGCAAGTGATTAATTGCCTAGTTGCTGAAATGTGCGAAATAAACTGGAGTTGATAAGCAAAGTCATTCATTTCAGGGAAAGCCACAGATGGTAAAAAAAAAAAAGCAATTATAATCCTGTGAATGATTAAAACTTGCTCCTGAAAGTTCTTCATTAGTTACTGAACAAAAGCAAAGCTGTAGTTTGAAAGTATAAATTATAAACAGAGGATACGGAAAGACATCCAGGCCAGAAACCCAACATACAACAGAGCAACTGCTTGGTGACTCAGCTACATCAACAAAACTATTATACTATATCACATAAACGCATGACATCAAGCTCACAATATCCCCCCAGCTTCCCCCTGGAGGGCAACAAGCTGCTCTCAAACGGTGACTAGCGTTGGTTTTAGCTGCCAAGTTGTCAACACAACGCGCTAAATCTTAGGTGTACGCCTAACAAAAGCAGAAAGGATGCAGTGCTTTGCTATTAATTGTCAATACTATGACAACTAACAACAAGGTCAAGAAAAAGTTTTAATTTACCAAAAAAATAAATAAATAAGAAAAATAGCAGTAGAGAGGGAAGTAGGTCAGCCATGCTCCATGCTAGCTTGACTCTTGCAACCTCAACATGCAGATGTGCTGCAGATTTTAGCGTTTCGGTTCAGTTAAAACATTTTAAAAACGTGCACACCAACTGACAGATCATCAGTAGAGCAGGGCTGTAAGCTAGCTAATTAACCACCACTGTGTTAGATTAGAAACCTGATATATTAGAGGCATTGTTGTCAGTTGCTATGGCAACGAGTCTGCAGTGTCACCCGCACAAAGAGCGGGAAAATTTTTTTATAAAAGTGGTTTTGAGTTGTTCTTGAATGGTTTTTCTATTATTTTTCCCTGTGGCACACTGCTTACAACTAAAACCAACACCGGAGTCTCTTCAGAACTTCACTTGTTGACATCGCACTGAAGTTGCGCCAGGGTTTTGCTTTCATTCTTGACAGCCTGCTATAATTTCATTTGGCCGCCTGCCAGGACTATTCTCAGACTGAAGCATGTAGTCTTTGTGCTTTTTAAGAACAATTAGACGGGAACCTTTAAATCTTTATGAAACTTCATTAGCCCATTCTTAGAAAAAAGCAGCAATAACTACGCAAGGCGCAGTGACACTAAACAAAATTGATGCAAATCTGCCAAGTCAGACAAAAACTCATATTTCCATAAAGTTTTTCTCTAGGTTAAGGGGGTTCGTCAGTTTTATCAAAATTTGTGTATTTTGCAAAACTGCAATGGAAATAACTTTTTCGCATCACGCGAGTCACATAACAGGATGTTGCTACTGATGGAAACAACAAAGAAGACAACAGGAAGTAGTGGGAGAATGACGGTCTAGCATGTTTTCAATTACTTATCGCGTGAGGAAAACCTATTCTTAGATGCGTTTTTTTATTTAATGGCTAGTGTGACGTTTTGTTTTTCGACATTAGCAGAACATCAATAAAGTTGTAGTAGAAACTCAGCTACTGTCACAGAAATGAACTAAGCTGAAGGAGGACGCACATAAACCTGAAAGGCTGGGGTCAAAGATTATGCCAACTATGGCTGGACCAACAAAACAAAAACATACTGTTTCAAGATCTTAAAAAGTGGTTTCTGTCATTGCAACGCCACAACATTGAAAAGATATTTGCATATTTAACATCAACAGAGTTTGACAAATTTAACTTCTGAATGTGGCCATCAAGCCAAACTTCAGGAACTAAAGCAATGTTTCTGACCACAGCTTCTACAAAACATTCAGCATTTCAAAAATACCTCCAAACTCAGAAGTCTGATCTCTAAATGGGAACCATTTATTTTTTTTTGTCTCATCTACATTATTATAATGCACTTGTTACACGTTATATGTAAGAAACTATTTCCGTCCGTCCTCAAAACTTGAATAGATATATTTCCATATAGTGTTTCCTTTGGTTTTTTGATAGTTTGAGTCTGGATTCATTCTTTTCAGCAGAATGAGAACTGCTGAAAAGTTCTCATTCAAAAGACTTGTGGTTTGTGAAGCCATTTTGTAAATACGCATCTACCAAAGGAGCCATGAAAAAAATTTACCTCACTGCAGCATTTATTGCCAGTTTGCAACTTTACAGCAAAGAAAAAGAACATGGCAACCAGATAAAAATGTAATGGTCCTGAAAATCATAGAGATGCAAAGTAATGCGAAGGAAAATCATCTTTAAATATTTTCAAGAGTACAGAAAGAGGTGAATGTAGGAAGCATTATTTTTAAACTGTCTTCAATAAACTTTTTTTTATTAATCTTACAGTTTATTAATGGAAAAAGCTGAAAAAAACTTGTACTGATCAACAGTACTTTTGCACAACTGAATTAAAAGTAAACACACAGCGGCTGACATTAGACCTTCCAGACTCAGATGCCCACATCAATTTAAAGGCAGACAGATAATTACTCCCTGCCTAAAGCCTACAAGTCCCAGGGTGCATTAGTGGAGCCACCGCCATGACGATCAGCACAAAAAAACAACCAGAGCTGAGCTCAGAGTCGTGTTTAGACCAAAAAGTTTTCCATCTAAAACAGAAATCATAAAAATAAAAAAAGAATAGTGGCTTTAAACCTCATGACTGACAACTGCCACAATAACTGCAATGATGTAGAGAAATGCAACAACATGGCAAGACAAAGCTGCACTCTCTGAAACCAGCTACTTTATGCCATCCTTTATTGATACAGCAGTTATAAAACTTGTTCTGGAATGAATTGGGCTGCAGCCACCCGTAGTAATATGCTCATATTTTCTTTCTCTAGCGTTTCTGTACACGTAGCATCAATGGAGTGGTACAAGATTATTTTCCAGTTGTTTTACCGCTTTCTGACATTAGATTATTAGAGTTTTTACGACAATGTCCGTAAGAGATCCAGCAGGAAACTATAAGTAACAACGGCCCGTAGGAGGTGTGCAAGTCAGTAATATTACTCTTTATCTCACGGCTGTATAGCAGAACCAAAAAGATCCAACCAAGAAAATGTGTCAGTGTGAGTTTTCACAGCTGCTCATTACATAAGCTATGATTACAGAAGGTTTCTATGGCGTAAATGCAGAAGTCAACGCATAATGTCAGCTCTGCATATGTAGGAAGTTTGACATCAAAAGCCAGTCAAATCACCACTGACATGTTTCTCCTCTTTTCTGTGTCAAAGAGAAACTAAAGTAGACAGAACAAGCAGCAGGCGGACAGTCGCCCTCTGACAAGCCTTTTAATTAGGCCAGGTGTGCTAAGGTGCAATTTAATTAAGCTCTTAATTAACTGTGCAGGTCAGTAATCAGAGAGGGGTTAAATTAGCCGGGTTTATCTCAAATTACAGCCCAAACTCTCTGGTCAGGTAACGGCCGAGGATTAACCTCTGAAAACAGAAATAAAAATAAAGTTTGAAATTTAAACAGAGTCAAAGAATCAGTGGTTCCAACTAAAGCAGCAGGAAGTAGTCAAGGTCATTATATTTAACTAAAATGGACAAAATAATAAAAACTGAAACTGAGAAAACATTTCCATTAACTGAAATAATTAATGGGTAAAAACAATAACTGGAAATACAACCTGCAGTTTAAAACATCCTAAAATTGCAGAAATACTATCCTTCATTTTTGTGTTTGACTATTTATTGGCCTTTCGATTTTTTTTCCATACACACAAGCAGTTTACAGCAGGTGTTGGAAAATTACCAACACCTGTAAGGTCGCTGGTCTGCAAAATGGCAACGGCAAAAGTTGGGAGAAAACTCCAGTCTGTTGGTTGTTAAACAAAAACTGAATCCATTTTTTGAGAATACTATTTTTTCTGTTGTGTTTTGATGTTAACATAAACAATACTTTGACCTTTTTGAATTCCAGGGTTTCCCCTCAGTGTATTTTAAGCCTGGCGGGCCTCCAGGCTTTACTTTTGCCCCAGCCAGGCTAAGCATTGTTTATTTATGTTACCTTAATGTTTGCCTTTTTAAAGTTCGGGATTAAAGAGTTGGTGTTTAGGTTGATAATGTCTTCCAATAACAAAGTGACAATTTCAAATTTTCCATCAAGTCAGAAACAAGCAAGTTTTCTACACATAAAAATTAACCAAAGCATCAAAGTACTAAAACTACTACAACTAATAAAAACTAATCTAAATATTTAGATATCTAGATTGAGACTAGAAAACTCTCAAAAAAATAAATAAGATCATTTGAATTAGACAAAAAGTCACAACGAAACCAAACTAATGAAAGACCCAGTAACCCTGGAACTCGTCAGTGATTAACTGAACTCATTCTTTACTGTGACATCATGGTTTAAGCATGAGTAACTTATCTCACATATTCACACACCCGGCAACAGTCTCTCCATTTATTAACCGGATACTGAATGTCAATGAAGGCCTGTATTGACACAGGCTGTAAAACAAAGAAAAACTTGCTGCAACAAGCTTTAAGTAAATCTGCAACATTTCTAAAGCAAAATCCTGTAAATCTGGTATCCAACAATGCTTTACGACTTAAAGCAGCAACTGTAAAATGGCAACTTTCTGTAGTACTACTGTTAAATTTTAGTATTCTGGTTACTTTAAGATTATTATTTTATGACTTTAATAACTGTTTATGACTGTTGGCGATCACGGTACCGGCCGTGCTGTACGTTCAATCACAGCATTTTATTTGTTATTCCGGTTAGCAGAGTTGGTAAATATTTACTTGAGTAACTTTTGAAGAAATGTACATTTAGGAGTATTTTTCCTACATTAGTAATTTTATAATGAAGTTTTTCTACTCTTCAGTAAAATTTCTGAATTTTCTACCCACTGAATACAAAAAAACAAACATGTTTTAACTAAAAATTCATCAGACAGACACACACCTGCAATTTCTGTTAAAGTTTTTTAATGACAGAAACTGATTTAGAAAAAAAAAATTCTGGTTTTGATCTTTTTTATTACTTATATGATTTATTGTTGCTTTGGTTCTTAAAATACCAAAATTTCCACTTAACTTTAGATTTTGTTTTGTATGGTTGTGTAATCTTTGATTATTAAATGATTGATCATTTGACTAGTTACTCACTACTTGAGTTGACTTTTTACCAAATACGTTTTTACTCTTACTTGAGCAATTTTTTGGCTACTTTATAATTTTACGAGTACAAATATGTTGAAGTAGTGCTACTTTTAAGTATAATTTTTAGGTTCTCTTCCCAGCTGTTAGCAGTTTCAAGACCTTCTTGACTTTTGCAGGCTCCAACTTTTAAACACATTAGCATTTTCATTTCAAGGCTAATTTTTATACCACATTTCAGCAACAAAGCAGTTTACAGAGCTTTACACTGTAAAACCAATCACAGTAACCAATCATGAAAAAACAAGTAATCAACATAACATTTTGTCAAAAGTCATCATCAAAATCATTGATCCAGTTACGAGGAACCAAAAGCAGCTTTAAACCAGTGGGTTTTAGTCTAGATTTAAAGAAAGTCAGTGTTTCAGGCATTTTGTAGTTTTCTGGAAGTTTGTTCCAGAACTGTGGTGCACAGAAGCTGAATGCTGCTTCTCCATGTTCGGTTCTGGTTCTGGGGATGCAGAGCAGAACCAGAAGACCTGAGAGGTCTGGGAGGTTGCTGTGACGACAGCAGCAGGTCTTTAATGTATTGGGATGCCAAGCCGTTCAGTGATTTATAAACTAACAGAAATATTTTAAAGTTTATTCTCTGGAAGGACACTAGAACTGGGTGATGTGCTCTAACTTCCTGGATTTAGTAAGAACTCCAGCAGCAGCGTTCTGGATCAGCTGCAGCTGGAGGACTATTTTTAGACAGACCTGTGAAGACACTGTTCCAGTAATAAATGTGACTAAAGATAACGCATGGAGGAGTTTCTCTAGATCCTGGAAATGTTTTTCAGCTGCTAGAAGGCTGAATTTGTAACCATCTTTATTTGTCTTTGAATGTTCAGGTCTCAGTACTTCACTGCATGTTTCTAGATGTAATAATTGAAGTTGTGTGCTGACTCTAGAGCTTTTCTATTTAGGTCCAAAGATAAAATAAGTTTTTTCTGTACGGCAGGATAAATTTATGGCACCTCCATGCACCGATTTGTCATAAGTATTTGATTTAATTCTTTTTGAAGCTTTTGTGAATTTAAACTTTGTGTGTTTTGGCATAAAACTCATTTGAAAATGTTGCTAACATACCAAATACAATGGACTCAGCAAAGTCCTTAGAGGAGAAAGTAGCTACAATTACAATTGGGTCACCTGTAAAATTTCAACAGGGATGGTAATTTTTTTTCTCAATATTGCCAATTTTAAAAAATCCAACTAAATTCAAACTGCCTCATTTTTGGTTTGGCAAATCGATACAAATTTATCGACACAGAGGCAAATATGTGGAAGATCATTTCATATTTATCAGGCCAACAGTCACATGATTAGGCCTGTCGCAATAAATCAATTAATCGGCAGGTAAATTAAGACAAAATCAATACCATTTGCATAATTTTTCTCTTTCTACAAAAACTGTTTGATAAAAGTCTTCAGTTTGGTGTTTTGGTCTCAATTAGCCCCTTTTTGAAGGCAGGTTTTGCTTACAGAAACTTCCTAATTAATTTTATTGTTGCTTTGTTTATTTATTTTGGATAATTAAAGTGTCTTTCATTAAATGTTCATTAAAATTTAAAGTTTGTTGACATTGAGAATGTGTCCTTGTATTATTACCATTACCATCTCAAAACAACATCAGTTATCACAGTAACTTCTGGGACAATTCATCATTCAGAAACATTTCGTGACAGGCCCAAATATAATGAGCAGTAGCTCATGATAATGATTTTGCTGCTGTGTTCTAATGAGTGTGACAGTTTCTGATTATTGATTAACCGATTTTTATTTTGTTGGTTTAGCCATTACATCAAAACCTGCTTCCTTTTTGCTATTGAGGACCTGAATTTGGATTTTAAAAAATAAATAAATCACACTGATAACATCAACTAAATCTACTTACTTCCCAGGACATGCCAACGTCACCAATATAATGGTGTCATCCACTGTTTCTCCCTCTCCTAATAACTCTTTAATTTTCATAAACATAAAAAAGCACTTCTATGGGTTTCTTCCTGTTTAAGGGGAGATTTTCCCTTCCACTGTCGCCACGTGCATGCTCAGTATGAGAGATTGCTGCAAAGTCAACGATTTTGGTCCATTTGGAGTGAATGCTGTAGTCAATGACTTTCTGCAATGTTTTGTTTTAGTCAGTTAAATCACTGTAACTTCATGTCACTAAAATAAATGCAAAAAAGCCAATTATAAAATTAATTGAAGATTGGTTTTCTGTCAGCCTCCCAACTATTTACATATTCCACATAAACTGAGAAGCAGAAATGTGACATTTGTGTTGTTTTATCGCGGAAATGGGCTTCCATTCAAACAGGTAAAACACCGGGAGATTTTACTATCAATTCTGTTTGTTTTTTTTTTAAGTCTATTTTGTCTATTTTTAATCCATATGTGATCTCAATAAATTTGAGTATTAACAGTTAACACAACAATGGCCGTTTAAAAATTGTCTTGAAAGTTAAACAAACAAACCAAACGTTTTTAAATATTCTACTGAGGGAGAGCTAATGTGCAACCAACTGCTAAACTCGAGCTAGCTTGAAAAAAAAACACGTAGTTTTTAAGTGTTAAAAGTTTGAGAGGACTCGGTGTAACTTTACCTACTTTTACGTTGTTAGCCATCTAGTTGGTCCATATTCCACAGAAACCGGTCCAAGCTGGATTAAAATTGTAGGAAATTGTCACTTAAAACCGAGTTTAAACCTGAACGCGACTCGTTGTTTAGTTCCAAACAGCTGAGCTTCCAACCGCCGGCTAGCTCCGAAGGCAGACGTTAGCCAGCCGCAACGTCTACCTGACGGAAGACGACCGTGTTTTAAACACCTCGACAACAGCTAAAAAGGCTAGGTTAGCCTGCTAAAACCCAGACAAATAAAGTTCGTACATCTCTCCGAGAGCTGAGGCGTGCGTTAAATTTGGGATTTTGCCGGAAAGCGGCGCTAATGTGAGGCGGAGAAAGCATTTTTTTACCAGCTGCTGCCGTATCCACCGCAGCATCTTGACAGGATACGCTCCGGAGAAGCCAGCACAAGACGTTAGCCCCGCGCTAGCACCAAGCTACTCCGACGAAGCAGTCCAGAAGCCGCAATAGATCCTCCGAGAGGCAGCTCTCCTCGGTCGCATTGCGTGGCTCGTCCGTACAATGCGACTCCTCGTAAAGCAGGCGCTTTAAAACGTCCCCATTGCGCCAGACAGATGATTACAAGTGAAAGTGACAGAGGAGAGTCCCGGTGCTACATCTCTCTCTCTCTGCCCTGCCACGATCACTTTACAGGGACACACACGCCTACTGTCACACACCAACTTATGGCTCGGTGAGGCGCATACGCTGGCTGCTCTTTCTGCAGCCTGTGAACGCCCCCTGTCTGTAAAATAAAATATTTATTTCATGACAAACCGACACACAAAACGCCCACATTGGTAAGGAAGGAGGAACAGGAGGCACCAACTTCACTTTGTTGTTTACAAACGAAGTTAGGAAAAATGTGGTGTTCAGTCTCCTTCAGCATGTAACCTTTGTAAATACTTTTTTGTATATTTGTTGAAACTGTAGGTTAAGAGACAATCTGAAAATACTGGGGCCAGTGCTAAATAGAAGCAGCCAATCAGAACTAGGAGGCGGGTCTTAGCGCTGTTGATCACTATATTCTTCCCTGGGAGCTAGCATAGCCCGCTGCGAATGCTCAGGCTAGTTCCTATAGCCACAGATGACAACGAATAAACGATTTTCGTGTAATGAAAGTTCTTACAGGAAAGTCATTAGCACAATGAGAATAAGCAATTGATGGACAGCGCTAAGACCCTCCTCCTGGCTCTGGTTGGTTGTTTATGACCAGAGCTGTGCATTTCTTTAGCAATAGATTAAGGACTAGATGGAGAACTTCATTCCTGTCACAGATATCTATCTCATAATATACTATTGTGGTGACAGTTTTAACAAATATATAAAAACCACAGCTGCAGTATGTAGCTTTTATATAAAAATGTTTTTTCTAAAAATCTCTCAGGCCATTAATATCGGACAGTGATTATATTTACTAAACTTTCACCATGTTGTGATGGTTTAAGACAGATACTAAGTGACCCATTATTATTGTCTGAAGAAATTTCCCAAAAACAACCAATCAGAGCCAGGAGGAGGGTCTTAACGCTGTCAATCATCCTCATGTTGCAATTTACCAGAAGTCTGAGATTTTCATGTTTGAGTATTTTTGCTACAAATTATTGTTGTTAAAATTTTAATTTTCTTATTTAAAAAATGAAACTATTTGCATCTTGTAATGCATTTCTAATAATTTATTTTTTTAAAAAGGCCTAAATGAAAATCAGCAGAATGTATCAATTTTAATCAATTAAATTATTTTTTTTATTCTTTCAGATTGTGTTATAAAGTATGATAGACTTAAAGTCTAAATAGCTGCAGTATCTGTGAGATGTTTGTCCCACGTTCAGCTGTGCTGGATTTGACTGAAACCATGCAGTCGTTGGCTGCAGGAGGAGCTAATGCTAATGATCCGGTATAATCGATGTGTGCCAGCAGCTATATTTGGAGCAGAACAGCTGCAGCCGCCCGCCTCTATCTCTCCATCTCTCTTTAACTCTGTTTGGTGGATGAGTTTGGATGTTTTCCACTGATCCAAATGCAGTTATTCTTGCTTTATGAGGCGCCCCTTTCAGAAAATTGTTTTGTTTTCCAATTGGATTCCTTATGTGGGCGTCTTAGATAAAATATATGAAAGTATGGGGTTCAATTCAGGTTTATTGTCAATGTGATGTTGCAAAACGACTGAAGCGTTTTTTGTTATAGTAAGACGTGTTACAAACTCGGTTTAAAAAAGCAGATTTTCTCTGAAAATCCAGGATTTAATCTTCTGCCTGCTGCGTTTCACCCCATGTGACAGTCAGTGAAATCCCTAGTTTACACAGACTTACGTAACGACACTGCAGCGCCAACATCTGGGACCTCCTTTCCTTCTCACATCTGGGCTGGATTGAGCCTTCCAGGCGGGAACATGATACGCAGGTGACCTATCACTCTTACAAAATTTAAATTCAAAAGTGCTTCACAGACAGCTTAAATAATATAATTTAACTATGTTCATTACATTTTTGCACAAAATTATTCTTAGATAATGAGATTTTAGTCTGGTGAGTTGAGACGGTTTTGAGGACATCACAGATGGAAAGAAAAGAGGGAGTACATTCCTGCCAAAGCAAAACAAAAATCTGAAATTTTGTAGATTAGTCTCAAAATTTTTCTAGAATAAGGACATTTCTGAGAAAGTTTCAAAATTGAAAATTTTCAGAAATTTCTAAAAGTTGGACAATTTTGAATTTTGAAACAAAATTTAAAACAAGTTTTTTCTAGGGGATTTTTGTTATTCTAAAAGTTTGAGTTTTTTCTATAAAATTTCTGACAATCTTGAAATTTCAGATTTTCTTTTTCTAGAAAATTTTTGACTCTTGGAGTTTGGGAATGTTCTTGTTTTTATGCAGAATTTTTCAGAAATGTTGAAACTCAAAATGTATAAGTTTTTTTGGGGGAGATGTACTCTTCTTTTTTCCTCTTGTCTCTTTAAACCCACTTAAACTGCTGCTGGCCACGACCCTGTAATCAATGTTTACACTCACAGCTGAAAAAGGCTGTGCAACTGTACCATCATACATCTTTGGAAAGCAGAAGTGGAGCCTCCTGCACAACCAACAAAAATGCAGAAAGTGGTTTCTTTATGGTCATTCAACAACAAAACACTTGCCATTTCCAGCAGCCATTGTATAATGCAGTAAAATCAGCTGACCAAATGTGCTGAATCTCTGCTGGGGTTGCTAGGTAACAGGTGGAACTCTGCTGTGACTCGACAACCAAGAGATTTTTGAAACGGCTCATTTTCCACCAAAAACATCTTATCACAAAACGATTTAATGTTGTTTTTTTTAGGTGTTCGGATTGTTTTTAGACCCAAAGGGACGTGCAAAAACATGCAAAATTAGGACTAATAAATCCGAAGAAATCGAGGGGAAAACATTTAAATCAAAATAGATTTTTGGAGTCTGATCTGTTTATTTTATTTCAGGTCTTTGTAAGCATAAGCATGAGTTTGTGCCGATGGTCACAGACAATTGGCTACGTTTTTGTAACGGAGTCAGGAGAGTGAGAGCCACTGATCTACAACAGCCTCAATGTCGTTGATAGAAACGAATGATGGCAAGGCACAGGGTAATGTCTGGCCGCTGTCCCAGCTTTGTGCAGAATTGAATTTAAACTGCAATCTTGCAAGTGCTTGGAAGAGCTTTTGGCTAGCATTTTAAAATTCACTGCCATGCTTCACGGGAGACTCCAGTTCTCCTTCAGGTGTGGCCTCATTTCTACCGTTAGACGACGTCTTGAAGGTTTTGTTTGGGGAGTTTCTGCAATTATTTTCAGTCAAAGATTTCGTACAAGAAGCATGTCATTTTTTTACAAATGGAAAAATACATAAGCATAGGTGAACAGCAAAGTATGCATTTGTCAAACATTAAAATATATATATTTCATTGTGTGAAACTATCCCATGATGCACCAGTTAGGTCACATTGCCAGTCCAAAAGAAAATTATCTTACAATATAGTTCTCCACCAAACATTACAGTACTTAAAATATTAATAGTGGGATTTTGTTCACATTTCGTCATATTATAATCACAAATAATGGGATTTTATCTAATAAACACAATGTAGTCTATATGTGTGAAGATGAAGGAAAATAACTATATTTATAAATACAAAAATGAAAATTGCTCTTTTGAGTCTACATTGTAACATAATAAATAATTTAAATGTCAATTTATGAAAACTGGAAATAAAAATAATTTACTAAATATAAAATGTATTATGTACACTGTTGGTGTTATAATAATACAGCAGATATCAATGTTTTTATTGTTGTTTCTAAGTTCTGTCTGAAATGTTATCATTGAATGTTATTTTGACAAAATTATTGGTATGTAAAATACTACTATACAAGAAAGGTCAAACAATCTCATATTCTGAATTTGCAAAGTTAACAGGCAAGATTTATAAATTTAAAATACTTTTAAAAAAACGGTTCAAGAAAACATTGTGTCAGGAAGTTTCCAGGTTTTATTTTTTCTGCTTAGTGAAATAAACTAAAGTTTGTGCAGAAAAGCAAAAGTTTAAGGGATTGAAATTACTTTTACTTAATTACTGATTTTTCTGTCTGCAAAAATCAGGAATAAGAACGTACCGCTATGAGATCCAACGTTTTAAACCATCAATTAAATGATCAGTGAAGAGTTCCCTCCTTGTTAAAAAAAATAAGTACACACTTTTTAAAAAAAGGCTTTAAAACATCACAGGTGGCTGAGTGTATTTAGAAAAGAAATCATTTATTACAGTATTTGACAAAACCAACAGTTATACTCAGAATGCAGAGAACAAGGCCTCACCGTTGGTAAGGAGAGAGAAATCCGTCCTGCGCGTGATAATCATCCGCTGGCGGAGAGAAACAGAAACAAACATCTGTCTGCCGAAAGCAGCGACCCACTTATCGAGCAGCACGGGGTCAATCTGGGGTCAAAACGACCAAAAATAAAACATCCTCCCACAAAATCACTCTGGAGTGTTTCTGATGCAAATTCTAAACTTCTGACATCAAGATTACAAAAAATGTTAGTTTTTCTCATGATGGAGTGTCAGGGCCATGCTAAGAAATTATTTGAAAATTTAATTGCAAAAATAAAGTCACTAAATTACGAGAATAGAGTTATGTAACAACTTGTATCAGTTTGGTTTTATTTATTCGGCTGTATTCTCGTATTATTTCAACTATTTTCTTGTTACAACTTTATGATTGTTTTATTATTACTTTATTCTCCTATATTTGAAATATGCATAAAGTCTCATATCTCAAGACTTTAATTCCAAAATATGAATTTATTCTTGTATTATTCCGACTTTATTTTCTTAATTTTACTTTATTGGTTCTTTTCTTGTCATGGCCCGGATGCTCCATCATATTTTCCAGATAAAATAAAACCTTTGTTTTTCTGGAAACTTTAAGTTCAGTTACAAAGAACCTTAAATACGTCCTAAATCGTAGAGATGAGCTCAAGTTTCATCTGTAAAAATGAAAAATGATTTAATCCCCACAAAAGGCAACTTTGATTTGAGTTGGAAAATTATTTAATTTTCTAATGAAACTTTTAACAGCTGTTGTACTTCCTGCTGTTTTTCTTTCGTTTGCCACTTTTCGTGTTTTGTGCTTCTTTTGCTGGAAAACCTGCACATTATTTTCACAAAAAGCAGGAATGACACC